GTTTATTTTGTTTTTTGGTTACTTGTCATACAATTAGTTTAAATATAAAAACCTATCTTTTCAAATATATAAAAGGTCATATTTATTTAACCATTTTAAAAAAATAACGTTCATTTAGTTTCCAAGTTATAAAAAAGCATCAATTTAGTTTATTAATCATATAATTAAATTTGATATTAATTTCTAAGTCGTAAAAACGATCACTTTAGTTTTTCGGTCTACGTAAAAAACGAGACAAATTTTATGACACTTCATATTATTAAGACTAGTTTAGATAAGTTTTTTTTATGAGTATTTATTGGAGAATAACCTTTTTTTTATAGTATTTAATATAAAATTTTGGTCTTTTATTTTTTTTAATTATGTAATTTAGCCTTCAATTTTATAAAATATGTAATTTTGATTTCTTTATAAAATTTTTATTTATTGATTGTTAAAATTACAATAATTAGTCGTAACTTGACATTATATGATATGATAATTAATATTTAATAATATTTAATATAATTATATTTTTAATTCTTAATTTTATTTTCATCTTATTTTTCTACTTTGATAAGATTAAAAAGGAAATTAAAAGTAAAATTTAGGTTAAATATTAATTATATCATCTATTTAATGTTGGAACATTATTAACATTTTTTAATGGACAATAATGAATATTTAGTGAAAAAGATCAAAATTATAAATTTTATAAAATTGAAAAAATAAAATTATAAAATTAAAATTAAAAATTAAAAATAAATTACAAATTAAATATTATAACAAGAAAAAATTAAAATTTATATAAAATAAAATTATCTCATACCATCCTACATTCAACTTTTATAATAGTTCTCTCATCAAACTTTTCCAAAAGTTAATTACATTAACACATTACTTTATATTTATATATTTATATATATATATATATATAATTAAATATTAAAATTAACATTTATTTTTATTAATTTACATATAAATTTGAGTAATTTACTACTTTATAATTAAAATAAAATATTTGATGAATAAATTTACCCTATTCACTTTTAATATTTTTTCATACGATGAATATAAACCCTATTCACTTTTAATGTTTCCTTTTCTCTTCCATCTCTCTATTTATTTTTACCACATTTCTTATATTATATTATCTGTTTCAATATTATAATTTCTTAAAGTCTATTAGGGTACAATTTTATAATTTTTTTAATAGAGTTTTCTCATAAAAAATAAATATTTTTGTAGTAGAGAAACCCTAAAAAAAACTCTTATAATTTGTATTCAAAGAGACTTTTTGTGATTTAGGGTTTAGGTGCACACACATATATACATATATCGAAGAGATCTATTTACTTCAATAGTAAGTTTTGGTAGATTTACTTCACTCAATAACTTATGTTCTATATCAAATTTTAATAATTTAACTGTTGAATTAAAAGTTCTTAATGCATAAATCAAATTTATAAATTTTAAAAAATTTGAAAATAATATGATCGATAATTTCATTATATAAAGTCAATGTTCAAAATAATTTTTACAATTATCAGTCAATTTGAATTAATAAAATAAAGTATTAAATAATTTTTAATTTTAAAAAATTTATAAATTTAATCTATATATTAAAGATCTTTAATTCAACGATTGAATTATATAAACAAGTCAATATCACATTAGCATCCCTATCTATCCACATCAGTGTCACTACTACATCAATATCAGGATACAACATCAATCATTTATGTCCACATCAACATTAATGAGTAACGTCATAGTTAACCATGTCATCTCAAAATCAACACTAAAATAATATATTGAAAAAATTAAATAATTAGTTTTAAATGAAAGATTAAATTTCACGGTAAAAATATATCAACTTTTGTGAATTAAAAATTATAGGAGACTTAGACCAAAAAATTAGCCTTTTATTAAATAGGAATAAACTAAAGATATAAGACTTTTCATAAAGAGAAAGAAATTATAAAATTATTTTGATGTCTATACAAATGTTAAAATTTTAAAATTCAAATTAAAAGACTATATTCAAAAGTTCGAGCAAGACTGTATCATGTGCAATAAAACTATTCTTTTTGGTGTATTTAATAATATAAATGCATACCGATTAATCTTAGTCAACACACACGTCCAATGATACAAAAATGAATCTTAAAAGTTCTTTGATCTAAAAGTGGACTGTGTATTACGCGGTTATACTTAAGTTTAATATATAAAAGTTGATAAAATAATTTTAATTTGACAAGTTACGGGCAGCTTGCATAGTTTACGGCTTTAAATTTGATTTTCAAACACATCAAATGGTATATTGAATACACCTAGTCATGAGAGAGGGAAAAAAAGAAGAAATTATATGTATAATAGGTAACATGATATATGACATATAGAAATAAAGAGAAACAAAAGTGTGGATAAATGAAGGGTTTTTCTGGTTTACTTTTTCAGTGTAGTGAGGAAGCGGGTGTATGCATGCGTGGGTATTTTGTATTTTGAAATTTCGCATATGGATGGATTTAGGGTGTGAGAAAGCATGATGCAGAATAGTGCAATATATCGTTATGATATCTATTCCAAAATGAAGCGCAAATGATGCTAAATTTTATAAAGTTGATTTGTATTCTTTCCTGAGAAGGGAATGCAATTAAATTTGTGTGGTATTAGGATAATGATTCCTTTAGATGATAGCAAGAATGGTCCCTTAGAGTCAAGCCAGAAAGAAAGCTAGCTGCTAGTGAGGTCGACTTTGTTGTCTATTTGCGTGACCTCTGGGTGGTGGAATATAGTTAACTACGTCTTATCACTCCCACGATAGAAAATGACACCCATGCTCAAATATCAAATATCTTCATACCCTTTTCAGATTCAATCAAACCTAAAGGTTAAAAAAGAATAATAATATTAATTCAACTTTTTCTCCCCTCACAGTATAGTATTTTTTAATTCTTTTTCTCTTTAACAGTCATGATCTATTATTGACCATAGCTTACAATCCTGCATTGAAGTGCAGGTTTGAAAATTTTGTTATTGCTGTTATCTGGGTGTCTGTCACGAAAGAGATGTATCCAAGCAAATCTTTACTCATTGGCTTCTGCTCATGTGAAATTAATTACCTTTAATCTATCGTTAAGGTGATGATGTTAATTTCCCTATGATCGCTTCTTGACTTGTCACTAATCTTTTCAATGATCAATAGTGATTGATATTATGATTTTTCTTCTCAACATTTTTCTTACTTAAAGAAATTTAACTCTTTAATGGTATAGTAATTAGGTTTAAAATCTTCATTATATATTCTCTTTTTACCATCGAATTCTGGGAAATTAATTTGATATTATCTTACTATATGCAGAGACACGTCATCGAGAAATTTGATGTGCGCATGTCAAATTGACTATGATTAGGTAGGGTGAAGTGTCAGAATTTGTGCAGATGAGGCATACTTGAATTATCTGTGTGAATTTATTTGTACTGGATTTGTAGTGAAAAAAGAATGGAAAAGGGTAACTTATCCTGAGATATGGGCTGTACTAGTCAATGACATTTTTGGAAGGGAGAAAATTGGGAAACAAAAATTGACAGCATGAAAACTAGCCTGGATAATCATGGAATCATGGCATCACTAGCCACAGATATTTTAATAACATTCAGAATTCAAATAATGTGATAAGCTTAATTAATTAACTCGATCTTCTATAGGCAGTGCATCAACATCCACTAGGACTTATTAGATCATAGCTCCATAGATGGCATTTTGCTCCAGTAATAATTAACATCATATATTAAAATAATACGTGAAGGGGTCATGATTAGCATATTTATTGTCTTTATGTATCAGGAATAAAAATAATGAATTGTCATAATTAACTATTGATAATTGATTTTTTTAATTTATAATCACTATTTTTTGATTAATATAGTATAAGACAAAAACCATCAATTATAGAATAATATATAATATATGAGAAAAATTTCGTTTTCAAATTGAGTACGAGATCTGTTGGAACAAAATTCATAAACTGACTTGGTGCGTATAAATCAGAGAAGTCATTTCATAACATGGTGAAAATCATATTCCTACATCTCATAGGACGTGGTGAAAATTATGTTGTGCCCAAAGAGTGGGTATCCTCCAAAGTCCCACATTGGAGAGTCTTGAAGGGAGGAATGTTGTGCCCAAAGTGTGTGGGTATCCTCCAAAGTCCCACATTGGGTAGTTTTGAAGGGAGGAATGTTGTGCCCAAAGTGTGTGGGTATCCTCCAAAGTCCCACATTGGGTAGTTTGAAGAAGGGTAGTGGTAGATTACTACTATAAATAAAGGGTGAGGGTTTGTGTTTAATCACCACAACAACATAGGTTCCAATGGGTGTATTGGGGACTTGGGTAGTTGTGTGTCATGAGAGGGTTTTCAAGTTTTTCCAGAAAACTTGTGTATGAAGGTTTCCAAGTTTTTCCAGAAAACTTGTGAGTGAGAGGGTTTGCAATTTTGTCCTTGTAAAAATTGTAAGTAGAGAGAAATAAAATGAGTTTGTTTTTGTTTCTCTATTTTTGTGTGTGTGCTTCCGCTATGGCTGTTTGAAGGCTGCTTCTTTTCCCAACAAATTATTTCATAACAAACAAATTAATATCGCATACTTTATATGTGTTTATTTACTGATACACATGTTCCAACTCAATTAGATTCGTCGGGAATAATTCTGAGAAAAAGGATAAAGATGTGAATATGATTGACGACCTTCTAGCTAGGTTACATGCACAGACGTGATCGAGAATTCGGTATACCATATATTATTCTTAAACAAATAAAAATCTCGTTATAGTAATTCACAGATAAAACCAATTAGAATTAAATCAATATATATGAAGCTCTTGAGAGAACAATACACAATACATTGATTACAAACCACAGTAACCATTTTGTTTTTTAATTCATATATCAATAGATCGTGTTCGACAGTATATATGATTTACAGAAAGCTCATTAATTTGTATCCTAAATCGAGGTATATATATAACAGCTGAGTTGAAATCTTTTATCTCTTTTGAATATTTGTACATGAAGAGCACACCACCATTTTTTTATTTACATACCAATAGAACAAGCAAATATCTATATATGTGTATAAAGCTATATTTAAGTTGAACTAAAAATATCCATGGCCTCACCTTTCGTGTTGTTATTGCCTGCAGCTACCTCCAATGGATGAGTTCGAAGTTTGATGAGGCCCATCTAATTGATCAAACTCTAACAACTTCTTTCCAAATTCCTAACAACCAAAATCTCAATATCCCATTAAAATCTTTACAATTTAATTAATTGGCAGCATTAAGAGAGTATATAGTGTAAGGTTCCACCAGCTGAGGATCATATTCATATCCTTCTTATATATTTTCTTCATCAATAAATAAACCATATATCGATCTAAGCATACCAATTCATTCCTGGTATTTGATATGTTGTCCTTAGTAATCCATCTCCTAATGATCCCAACATTGATTGTTGGTGCAATGAAGGGGTTTGAGGGAGCTGGTTGAGCAGAGTGGCAATAGAGTTAGCAGTGCCATTCTCTTGATCAGTCCTCACAACACTTCCATGATTGTTATCTCCACTTTCCAAATTGAACCTTTTGTTCGATGAGGACGTGCCAGCCACGTCCTCATCGTTCCAATACAGCGACGAGAGTGTCCTTTTGGAAGTGTTTGAAGAGTGAGTCATGGTTGGCACAAAAGAGAGCTCTGGCTTGGAGTTTGAGCCCCCCAACTGAGATGACATGGCACCAGGTGTGGTTGTGCTTGTGTTCATCATCATCCCTTCCAACAAGTTCTGGTCATTTTCCAACAATGCACTGTTGTAGCCTGTGGTGGACATCTTCGAAAGATGAAACCTCGCATTCATGTGGCTCAGGTTCATCGAAGGAGGAACCCCTCCAATCATGTCTTCCATTGAATCTTCCCTCTCATGCTCCATAGGAGACCTATGCGTGTTGCTCTTCTTGTAGATTCGGCACAGCACCCAATCATCAAGCTAGACACACACCAACACAAAATTCACAAGCACAAAATTCAGCAATCCAAAGGGCCAAAGAAAAAGGCGACATAATACTAACATAAACAAAACAAAAACACAAACCTCAGATTCCACATGTACTATTATTCTTCGATCATAATTAGAATTTTACTTTAGTGACTTGTGTAATCCTTTAATGCTAAACCTTATTACACATATTATTGAAATAAAATTGTAATTCTGATAAGGGTACAAAACACTTTTTAAAACATTCAATAGGAACTCTTCATGTCAACACATCTTTATATGATATTAAGATGTGGTAAGATGATGAAATTGTATTGAACGTGTGACATGCATATAAATTAGATTATAATGAATTACCCTGAGAGAGTTTTTCTTGTTGCCCAAGTCACAGCCAGGAGGCCTATTGTTAGGCTTGTTATCAGCAAGCCTATACTCATGCATGATCCAATTGGTTTTGATACCTCTTGGGGGCTTCCCTCCATAGAAAACCAAAGCCTTCTTCACCCCAACCTTTTGGGTTCCTCCAGAGGTCAACACAGGCTTATCAGTCCCCGTCGCTTTCCAATACCCAGATGTGGCCGCCCTGTTTGGCCTCGCCCCGTTCGGATACTTCCTGTCCCGAGGACTAAAGAAGTACCACTCCTGCTCCCCAAACGTGGCCTTAGCTGCCAAGCCAAACCGCCAAAAAAGAAAAGAAGAAAAAATATAGCACAAACAAAAAAATAAGACAAACCCATTTTAGTTATGAACGTAAAGTTTGATTCTTTGTATTGATTGGAGGAAATTGAACCAACCGGGTAGCTCCCACGGATCGAACTTGTAGAGATCAACCTCGGCGATTATGGCTACCGGAAGAGGAGCAGAAGCTGCTTTTTTCTTGAGGTAGTGAACGACGAGCTCCTCGTCGGTGGGGTGGAAGCGGAACCCCGGTGGCAGGTTGGGTTGTTGCGAACCTGTGGATGAGTCGGTGCTCTCCATGGGCACGGAAGAAAGCTTGGTTTTTGTGTGTGTTTTTTTTCCAGTGAGATGGGTTCTTTGTTTCAAGTGGTGGTTATATGTTATGGCTATGGCTTGTTCCACAGAAGAACATGTTATATGAGTTGGGACGAAATGTTTTTGTTTTGTTACCCCACATAAGAGTGAGGCCCATGTTTTATACCGGTACGGGGGCGGGGAGTGATCCCCTGCGCGCGGGTTCATTTTGCGATCCAATGGCGTGGCGACGTGTAGGGTTTGAGGGGCATTTTGGTATTTTCCGTGAGAGGGTTTCAGGTTGTGGAGTGAGGTGGCGGCGCGTGTATGGGGGAGGGAGTGGGTTTGCGATGATGACGTGAACTGGAATTCTGGCCGTTGAGAGGTTGACACGTGGGATTCCAAATGAAGGAGGGGTTGACACGTGTGGGAGCGAAGGGTTTTAATTTTCACTGGAATGGAATGGAATGATAAGTGTGGGGTGTGGCAGTGAAGATAAGATTTTAGTCTCCTCTTGCTTTTGTTGGGCCAAGAAAATTACCGTGCTAATCAAGTGGGGCCCATCCCATAATCCCACTTTCAACTTTCAAGTTTCGACCATGGCAATGGAATGCTAACAATACATCATTATTAGTCATGCCATCGTTCATCATAAACACTCTCTAATGCCTTTTTATTTTATCTTCTTCTTAATGCTTTCATGCATATGCACTTGCTTCCCAACATAAACTAACATCTTGGTAATAATTAAGGTGCTACATACAAAGAAAAAAAATTAGTTTCTATATCATTTTTTTAACTTTTTAATAAATAAATAAAAACTATTCTATTTCAATTATATTTTACAATTTTTATTAAGGGATCAAAAATATAAAAGGAGTATATCTAATTAATATGAAATGTAAATGATATATTAAGAAATTGTACAATAATTGTTATGAAATTTAAACTATTAAAAGAAAAAAATTCTCAAAAATATAATATATTGGTAATAAAGTGGTATTCTCTGGTAGTCTGGTCCCATTTTGTTTCACATTTAAAATTTTGATATGAGACTTCAAAAAATATGATATAAAAATAAATAATGAAGCATCTCAATATACCATTAAATCTTTTGAATTTTTATTAATAATTAAAATATATATTAATAATTATTAAGACTATAATAAAATAAATTTAATATTATATTAATATTGTTGAACCACAATCAAATTAAAACACACCAAATAAAATAGAACAGGAAGAATATATAGAAACACGTTACTCTACATCGATCTGTCCTTTTCTGTTTAATGTTTTAATAAAAAGAAACATTTATCTAATTGTCATTTTATAATATTAATACAATATTAAATATGTCATTAACTATTTATTATATGAAAGGGAAAATATAAAAGGAGTTCGAATGATAGAAAATTTAGTTGATATTTATACTATTAATTAATAAAGATAATAGATTATATATATATATATATACACATTTTGTTAACTATTTTGTTTCTTAATTTTTAAAATATTTTTTCTCTCTCTCTTATTTTTTATTCAGTTTTTATTATTTTTTATCTTTATTTCTTCATAAATTTATTTTTCAAGCTTCTCACACTTCCTAAATACCTATTCAAAATTTTCACATTCTCTAATCATTAACTACTCACACATATTTAATTTTGATTATTATTTATTATTTGTTTTATTTTTTCATTAAAATACACAAATGCACGTATTTTTTACGCTTGTAAAAGATAAAAGTCACGTTAAGAAATTGTATGATAATTTATATAAAATCTAAAATAGTAAAGAAAAACTTTCTCAACGGAGAAAAGATAAAAAAAAATTATGCCATCTTTGTAATAAGTTGGGTTATGGAAATATTAAGTGTATTATTTAAAATAAAAAAGATATCCTATTTTAATTATCATTTGACAATTCCCATGAATTATTAAGAGTATTATATCATTATAAGTAAAAAATATAAAACGAATACATTATACAAGTGAGAAAAGTCTAATTAATATATGAAAGATAACAGAAATATTAAGGATTTGTATTACAATTTTTATAAAATAATTTAAAAAGTTAATAATATTTTTTTAATATCTTAACAAAAGTCTTAAACATCAAATAAAATGAGATGTGAAATAAAATTAAACAGAGAAGGTAATATACAGTATATATCTGGTTAACTATAAAAGAAATTGATTGTCCTATTTCCTGAATTAGGATAAGCTAATTAAAACCGCGTATAATAAATAATGAATAGTAGGGTTGTATGATTCAATAAAAAAACAGTGTTATATGATTATTAGATAATTATATTTTTTTAAAAATATTTAGTTAACAATTCAATATTTGTGTTAATATGTATGAACAATATTATTGAGAATTATTAATTTTATAAATAGATTTTAATATCTCAATAAAATAGTTTTAAACTTTAATAAAAGAATATTATATATGAATAATATGAATTCACATTTTAAAAAAAAAAAAGCAACTTTAAATAATAAAGTATAAAAATATAAATAGTAGTTTACGTGAATTATATTCGGAGCAATGCACATTATAATATAAATAGTAGAAACTTTACGTATTTAACTAATAAATTATGTGATATCATATTTATGGTGATGTAAAACAATTTTTATATAATACGAATATTTTAATATATGTACTAGATAAACTATAGAATAATTTTGAATTATATAAAATTATGTATACTTGAATTTATTAGTAAAAATATCAAATATAATAGTTACAATAATAAAATTTTATTATATAAAAAATTATTAAATAAATAATTTCACTATCTTGATACATCTAGTGTTATCTGGTATGATTGACTCTCTTTTTCTAATAATTGCACATAAAAAAATATTAAAAGATTATAGATATATAATTATTTAAATAAGATATAAAAATTTATTATTTTTACATTTAAAGAGTATAATGATTTACTAAAAAATAAAGACTAAAAATGATTATATACTTTAATATTTTCTTTATTAATAAATATAGATATATATTTAATATATATATATATATATATATATATATAGGTAGAAATTAAAAGCTAAATTAGAATTACCCTAATATTATTTATTAAGAAAAAAAATGTTGAAAGTTATTCAATTAAGACATACCATGTTAGTTTATCACAATATATTATTAAATGTTTTTCCTATTATTTTCGTCTTTATAGGCTATATATACTTTATATGTTACTATAGAAAGCATATTCCATTTATATTAATTAAACACTCCTTACTGTTTGCACGAAAGTGGCTTGAGTTAAAAAGGAAAATCTGATTTATTTTATTTATTTTTGATTTTGATATTTCTGATTTAAGATTGGAATTCAAATCATAATGATCTAGATCCAGCACATATAAGTCATAGCGTTCACCATTGCTAATCAATAATTAATTTTCAACTGCAATATTCAACATCGTGAGACTTATTATTATAATTAAATTGTTGTCACAAAAGATTAGGGGTCTGAAATTCAACGTACACAATTAAAGTATTAACTGCTTAATTAATGATTAAGGGGTCGTAAAAATTGAAAATTGAAGTTGAAGAAGGAAGACCCAAGAAAATCTACACATACAAATGTTTGAATTTCTTTTTGTTTAATTTTGATGTTTACTAATTAAATATCTTCATGTCCATATCATTAAGGATTAATTTCGTTCAAGATGTACATATATTATTGAAGTAAAATTTATTTACATACACACAATTAAAAATTGAATAATAATCCTTTGTTAGAATTAAAATATATTAAATATGTTTCAAGATAGGTTCCATTGTAATGATTTTACTATTATGTTGTCAAATTATGAGAAAAAGTCTCTCTCTCTATATATATAGAGTTGGTGGGGGAGGGAATCTTAATATATTAATTAACAGTTGTATTTCAAAATCCTATGATGGCTTTGACTTAGGGAGGGTGAAGTTGATGTACATGGGCACACACATGAAGACAAAAAGTTGCCATTGCATACAATGATCCAATGGATGAGGTCCCAAAATTCTTCAAAGAGGAAAAACATATACACTATGATGGGTGGGGTCCAAATGCTAATTCCATGACCGACCAAAGGGTCCCATTGGGAGTCACTTGCTACAGCTAGCCCATCACTTGACACCAGATGGAGCTGCCACAAGGTGAAAATATCATCCTTACTTGTCACCCTAACCATGTCTCACACCAACATCCATGTTAACATGATAAATATATATACCTCAAACCTAAAGTTGTCATTGGTTTTTATAATAAATATATAAGTAAAAAAATATATATCAACGATGATATTTGGTCTATTACTATATAGTAAAATTATTTTACATTATTTTTAAATTCAGATTTAATAAAGTCGATTTCATGTTGGGGTATAATATGCATAAATTTATTGTTAACATATATCTCAAAATTGTTTTTTTATTGATTTTTATAATAAAAATAAATTATATTAATGATGACATTTGATTATGTAAGATTATTTTACACTATTTCTAAATTCATATTGAGAGTTGAGATAAGATGGATAAAATTTTGACTTTTAGCTTTGTGGTGCATTATATAATTGCTGGGGGTAAAAAATAAACTCATTCTATTGTGTATGGGGATTGTTGTGGTAAGTGTAGATTAGCTCACCCATCGGTGTTTGTCTAATAATCCCACAGATCGAATTCATGCCTATTCATCACAACAACCTTGATTAGACTATGATGTGAATTAAAATTAAAAAAATGCATGCACACTTGTCGACACTTTTTTCTCTTTAATATTCTCTTCTTTTATAATGTTTTCAGAAGCAAAAGTGTAAATAGGAATATACAAACTATTTAAAGGACCATCATATATACTTTGTGGAACAAAATTACATAATACAAGTCATATATAGCTCCCTTCGTATTGGCATTGAGAAAGGGAATTTATAATATAATTGGATCATTTTATAATAAGTTGAGCAATGTTTTAATATTTTCCATTTTTCACCCCACAACTATTTCTCATAAAAGGCATTTTTACTCAAAATATGATTTAGTATTAAATATACAAGTGTTTCTCCTATTAGAATTTCGGATTACTACATGCATTTTAAAATACATAAGGGTCATTTAAGGGTTTTTTTTTTATAAAAA